CAATTGCTTATATTGAGATACCCAACATAAAAAGAAAAAAGAGCAGAAAAGGAGGAGAAAGGGTGGGAAAGAGGGAGGGAGGAAAAAAAGAAAAAGGAAGGAAATATAAATAGTTTTCTGAAGAAGATAAAAGTTGGAACAGGATAAATCTGAAATAATTGGATGGTAAATGGCAGCCTTTACAACCTCAACATCAATTACATTAAGGGACAAGCATCTAGTTTTAATGCGGTGTGATTTAAAATTGCTACAGTGCCAGGAACTCATATTTAGTACTTGCAGGTTCATGCCCTGTCTGAACACTTTCAGATTTTTTAACACCTATTTCTGGCCAAAAAACCATGTCTGCAAGTGGGTTTCATGCCTGGGCCACCAGTTCATGCTCTTAGTAAATTTTTATCACTATTTGTATTAGATTGTATTTTTTTCCTTAAATTTTTTATTGGTACATTTTAGGTATACAATACATTTACATTTATCATTGGGTGCTTGTACCTGTACCTGATGTATCTTCTTATTTTTTTCCCCATTACCTGTGCTCCCTTCACCCCCTCCACCCTTCCCTATTTACATAGATTTTCTTTCCATTTTTTTTCTTTTCTCATAATTTTTCCTTTCCCTCTGTTCCTTTCCCCTTCCCCTCCCACCAACCCTATGCCTTTAGACCTTTTCTTCCTATTTAAAATTATCAATTATTTGTTTTAATCATTTTCATTCTTATTTACACTTTCAATTTCTCACACTAGAGAAACTATTCAGTATTTACATGTGTGTCCTATTTATTTCACTTAAGAGTATTGCCTCAATGTGTATCCATTTAGCTATAAATGTCCCTAGTTTCTTGTTCTTTATGGCTGAGTAGTACTCCATTTTATTTAAAAAACCACATCTTCTTTATCCAGTTTCCAGTTGATGGGGACTTGGGCTGTTTCCAAGCTTTAGCTATTAGATTGTAATAGATTCTGCTCTTGGGACAAGACATATCTCAAGCTACATGTAGCTTATAATTAAGGAGAAGGCAAGGTGGGTCAGTACAATTTCTGTCTGGATGATGACTCCCTGAGCCTGATATTTCTCACTAGGATGGGGGCTATAATCTTCAATGATTGTCTTTGAGCTCAACAGGAGGCATGGAGGCTAAGGGAATGACTCAGATCAGCAAATAAGAACCAAGATAGATGTAAAGGTACAAATTCCCAATGATGAATGTCATCATACTGTATACCTAAAATGTATACACAATAAACAGATAAGTGATTTTTAAAAAAACAAAGAAGTACAAAGGAAAAAAGTACACACACAGCCATGGTTGGGAACCAGAGAAGGGGTTTCAAATCTAAATGTTAAGCCATCAGTTTGGAAAGGATATGGAAAGAAATAACCTGAACAAGAAGCAAAATTTTAAAAGTTTTAAAAATAAATTTCTTGTGTGTCATTTGCCAAATCAGGCAAATTTGAAGAAGACTGATATGTAGACCATAAGGACTATCTGCTGATAGACTGGTAGTCAATCTTCTGATTGACCCATTCAGAAATAAAAGGATCAGAAGTTTTGACCTAATATCAGTCTTCACAAAAATGCTTCAACTTAATAATCTACTTGATTCAAATCCCCTCTAAGTTAAACAGGTGACATAATTCTAGAAATTATCAGGACTATATCAGTTCCCTTCAGTTCTACTTTTACCATGGGCAAATATGCAACATAATCTCACAGATTATTGTTAAAACAGGTTGGATTGGTCCAACTCTGCATATGACAAAACTGACAAAATTTAGAAAATTAAAACACATGTTCCCTCACATTCTTGTTTTTTCAATATGTACCATTGAACTCCAATTAATATTCCTTAGCTTTAAAGAGTAGATCATTTCATTTGGGATTTTAAAAAGATGAGAATATCAGAAGCTATCGAGAGAAGCCAAATACAAAAAAGAGGGGCTGGGGGTGAATCATAAATCTTAGGCATTAAAATGATACATTAAATTCTGAGTTAGCATTGTCTTAGTGAAGGGAGAAAGCATGTATAAAAACTGCTACGGAAGCCCCATTTATAGCAACCAATATATTGACATGGAATAGGAGGAAAAGCATAGCTCACTAACATCATGTCCACACCATGGGACAGATGGAGAAAGAAACTGACATCCAAAAGGTCACTGATTCTGATATTCCTAGGATAGGGATGTCTCCAGCTGAGGATAAATCCATGTCACTGAAATATGGAAAGCTAATCCACTTTACTGCCTTCATCAAATATTTAGGAATGGTACAACACTCCGTGGAAAAAACTAAGTGGATAAGAAAGGAAAGTCTATGTTCCATTATATAAAAAGTATAAAATGTACGTGCAAAATTAGATACACAATTTAGACATCAGAATTATTTTTCAATGGAAACTGAAGCCTCTTAGTGGGAAATGGATATCACAGGTTTTATATGTCTGCTCGGGGTGACACTCAAATCTCACTTAAACATACAGAATGGAAGACCTTGTGGTCATAGGTCAGAGGAAAACCCTGAGCTTGCTGACCTAGCAATGGATTTTGTACATTGAGGACTTGACAATAAAGATTTACATTAAAGATGAATTTGCTGGCCTGCAACAAAATACCAGTCACACTTCTCATGTGAATCTCTTCAATCCACAAAATCACTTCAGGGATATGAACAAAAAAGTCCACTAAAAAGTATGTGGCTTTATTTATTTATTCTTTTTCTTGGCTCATGTTTGGGGTACATAATGATTACATTCATTATGGAGAATTGGTACATAATGCGTCTTAATTCTTTTTTATTCCCTTCCTGTCTCTTACCTCCTCCTCTGGACTTTAATATGTGGAAATGATCACTAGAATAAAAATTATCCTTGGATTCATTTCAAGGACAATGACATAATGCATCAAGCAAATCTTCACAGAAGAATTGTAAAATTCTGCACAACTAAACTGGAATCAAAGAATCCATTTACAATACATCTGGCTTAATAATATGGAGCAGGTTATAATACAAAATGATAGTCCTCACAAATTAATACAGCTTTGTTCCACAAATAATATAGTTCTTATTCAGGCTATTGGACGCCACTTTAAAATTTATTGATAAAGGACAGAACAGCTTCACAAGACCAGAATGTTGAAAGGTAATCTATATCCTCAAAAGAAACTAGAGGGTACTGTAAACAAGTTATATCAAATAAATTGCACTTACCATTCTCCGCAGTACAAGTTATGGTACCCACCAGCTGCTAGAATCCCAAAGCAATGGAGAAACTATTACCATTATATGCTTTGTTTTTTCTATTTTATTAGTTAAGATGAAAAACAAAATAGGCTACTTGTGTTGAAAGCTCAATAGATATGAAATAATAATATCTAAGTCAGCCTCACAGCTGTGCCACATTTAGCTGTACAAGTTTGGGGAACTAGTAGTTTCTGAATCTTTTTAAGAGTCTTGAATTCTCTTTCTATAAACTAAGCAATTGGAAGAGACTATCTCTAAGAGATTTTCAAAGTCGGATGCTTAGGATGGAGATGCTTTCCTCCAGGGAGTTTGGGTGGCGTTGGGGGTGGTTGTCATTTTCTTAGGACACCTATTGGGAGCATGATTTGCTTTCTCATTTGGTATCTTTCCTAGGAGATCTCAAGCCTGAGGACTGTCCCTTACCTTTGCTGGTGATTGATTCAGGGATGAGCATGTGATTTAAGATAGGGACAGTAAAATCCAGAGACCTGGGAAGGTTCATTCTTGCTTTTCTAGGAAAAGTTTTGGAAGCAACTCTGCTTTTCTCCCTGAATCCAGTTGGGTATAAAACGTGAAATCTAAGCCAGGTGCGGTGCTGCAAGCCTATGAGCCCAGCATTCTGGAAAGATGAATCAGGAGGATCTTAAATTTGAGCTCAGCCTGGGCAAGTTTGCAATTTAGTAAGATTCTGCCTCAAAATGAAATGTATAAATAAAAGAGCTGGAGATGTAGCTCAGTACGAAAGCTCTGGGTTCAATTCTCACTATTGCAATCAATCACTCAAGTGAAATCTGAAAGGTTATTGAGCTCTAACACCTTAGAGGTGGTGCTGTTTTTAAAAATCCTGCACCAAGGTACCTCAGGAAAAAGGGATCCAGAACCACAGGATTAAGTCAGCACAAGGGCTCACCCTGGCCTGGACTTCCGGCATGTGCACCAGTGCATTTCCCATTGCTACCGCTGGCTGGAGGTGGTGTTTACTGTTACCTCTGGTGAAAGCCATTCGAGCTGTACTTGACGTATTCACTCATGAATACTAATTTTCTGCTTGCATTCATTCTGCATGCTGTGGAGGAAGTCGTAGGAGAGACTGGCCTCAAATACACTTCATCCAGGATCTCTAAAGTAGAAAGAGTCTAAGCTAAGAGACTACTACCTACAGGAACAGCATTTCACTCTTTGTACCTCCACCATTTAGCCCAGGGCCCCAAAACGAGTAGACAGTAAATGTGCAATAAATAAGAGAAAATATTGTCAACTAACAGTTACAGAGTGCTTACTACTTGCTAAAACATGTGTTGGGAATTATTTCTTTAATGAGTTCACAACCTAATGAGACACTACTGTGGTTATCTCTTCTGGTCAGATAAAATGCAAGATGAAGGAATTTTCCCAGGAGCACTCACCTAAATTAGTAGCCAATCCAGGATCCCAATCTAGACTTGCCTGATGTCAGAACTCCAACTCTTTGTGCTTAATTTCAACCACTTTAGTGGTTTCCTAGTTTGGTACTACTCAAAATGTGACTCAGAAACCATCTACAAGTCTGCAAAGGAGTTCAGCAGACATTTTTTTCCCAGTTAGATTTTCCCAGGAAGGAAACACAACTTCCATCAGAATAAAGGCCAAGCTTCCTTGAGAAATATGAACGGCCAACTTCGCCCGTAATGCAGTGTTTACAACAGTGGACTAGTTCAGTTCATTACCTGAAAGCTCTCTTATTACAATGATAATCACAGATACACAGAGTTTGTATACTTGTGCAAAACTTTATTCTTGCTATTCTTTTCAAGTTACTATTTAGCCCACAAAGAAGCCCTGCCCATTTCCACTTCCCCACACACCCTCAGTCTTTCCATCCTCTGTTGACCTCCCCTAGTCCCAGCTCCCAGGTAAGCTTCATCCATTGGGCTCTGAGAGATACTCTTGGCTTCAGGACAAGGCAGGTTGTCACCATGGTAGGATGGAGGAGACCTCAGGTCCTTCAGATGGAACATCTGCAAGACAATCAAACAAACCAAATGATGTCAGCCTTCTCTGATCATACCAACCACTTCTTATGGAAATGATTCAGGAATTTTGTTGTTAATAAAGTACTGTTCTTCCTAAAGATAGAAGAAGGAAAGAAAGAAATGGGAATGAACACAAATCCTGCCTTTCCACACATACCGCCTCTGGTTATTTTCATGTGTTCTTGGTGTGCTACACAGTCATGAATATGAGCCATTCCTTGGCATGATGGCTCTTGAAACCCTTTGGTCTTGAGGAGACATTCACCTGTCCTACAGGAATGCAAAATCTTTCTTTAACCTACTGCATATAAGGGCTAAGAAAAGAACAGAAAATTTCTTTTTAAAAAGTAAGAAAATGTATTTATTTCCTTTCTCATTAGAGTTTCTTACTCTGATGTCAGTTGCTATCTGGGGGATCCTTGAGGAGACTGAAAAATCTTGTGTGTTTGTGCATTTTTCTAGGGATGGAAGACACAAACCTGATGTATTTGCCCAATACAGGGACAGCAGTCAACTAAGTTGTTTGCATATTGTTCTCCTTCCCCTTATAGGCATATGGAGGCACATTCTATTTAATCTCATTCTTTATAAAACTACAACAAATTATCAAACTGTTGTAGCTTAATCACTACATTCTATGCAATGGCTACAGGCTGTACCCATATCTTTTCTAGTCTGCTCATAAATACTGGGGCTGCTGAGCATGAGAACCTAAGAGTAGACCTTTCACTCCCTAACAGAAAGAAAAAAGAGTAAATGTATGCTTTATTTTATGTGGGTCACAAGAAAAATGTGGCAGACTTAGCTTCTTCTGCTATGGCATAATTCATAGTTCTGTAGAGGATTTTTTTCACAGACTGAAAAATAGCACTGAATTTTTCAGTGATGATGGGCACAATGTCACATACCCATTCTTAAGACTTCCTCCTTCTTTTTTTGCTTTCCCTTGGGAATTAAGTCACTTATGAGAACATAGTAAGACGCCCTTATCTGTACTTTCCTACAATTAAGAAAATTAGTTTGCTCAGTGGTACTTTTCAAGAGAAGAGGACAGTATATAACCAACTGTAATTGAATTAAAGTCATGTCATTTTCATAGATAGGAGTTCAGCTAACTATTACTGAAGAACTTGAAAATATTCCTTTGGAAAGTCCTGCATCTTAATATAGACTTCTGCAAATGGACACATTGGGTTAGATATCAATAGATTCAGAAATGAAGCATTAAATAGTTAAAACCATCTGCCTTCTTGGCCATAAGTCTTAGATACCAAGAGCTTTATCAGGTCAACCTGAATGCCTTCAGTGGTCACCTCTGACATTTTCTGACATATTTCCCAGAATGTGGGGACAAAGAAACATCTAGCATCACATTTATGATGTATCCTTATGTAATCCAAGGATACTGAGACTGATCAAACGAATGAACCAGAATAAAAAGAAATTTAGTTTCAGGAGTAGTCACAATTTTATTTGTGCCATGAACTCTTTAAAGAATTTTCAAAAGCTAGTAAGATGAATTCACATTTACATTATATTTTACCACTTTTAGAGCCCCTTTACATCCATGATTGCATCTACATTTCATAAGAGATCTGTAAGAAAGACAAGACAGGATGTCTTACGCATATCTCTTTAGATGAAGAACCCTAGAGTCAGACAGGAAAGGGGCTGACAAGGGCTCCAGTCTAGTAAGGGTGAACCTAGAAGTTCTCTAGTCTTCTTTCCAACATCCTTGATGTCATGCCCGGTGGATGCCTCCTGTTGAGCTCAGATCTGCTCTTCACATAATTAGGGGAGATATTAAGGTGGAGATCATAACTATGTAAGTGTTATGATTAGAATGTAGCCTTGGGTTAGATTCAGCAGTTTCTTCAAAGATTCACTTCTGGGTTCCAAAGAAAAAATAGTCTACCCCATTTGAAGTCTCTGAGAACAGAATGTTTCTAGGTGCCAGGAACAAAGAAATGAAGGAAAAATTTAAGGCTGAAGAGTACAGAGAAGAAGAGCACTAAATGGCAGAGTACAAGCCAGAGCAAGGGAGGTTTAGTATCTAAAGAACTACGTGACCTTGGCCACGTCACCAGGGATGGGTACTAACTTTGTGGACAGTGAGCCAATTACTGTGGCAGGTGCCCCAATTTCTCATATAGTTCTCTTAAAAACCTGTTTCCCAGATGAAGAAAGGTTAATTAACTTTCTCAAGGTCACATCAATGGAAGTAGAATTGGGATATTTGGCGTCAGCTGTGGCTGGATGCAGTCTGAGTGTGTTCTCTAGGGTCTCAGGTAGTGAGAGTTAATCCCTGTTGTGAGGTATTGAGGAGGTGGAGATTTAATCTGACTATGGTATTTAGAGCTAGAGCTCTTGGGAGGTGTTAGGATTAGATAAAGTCACCAGGGAAGAGCCTCCATGATTGAATACTGAAACCCTGATTGCTTTATCAGAAGGAGAGAAAGAACAGAACTCTCTTCTCTCCTCTCCTATTTGATACCCTACACTATATTGGGGCTTGGCCAGCAACAGGACCTTGACCTGTACTTCTAGAACTGTCAGGAGCCAAAACAAACCTCATTGTTTCTAAAATAAGCCTTTTTTCTTTATAAAGCAACTGTCTCAGGTATTTCATTACAATTATGAAAATGCAAACGAACACAGCCCTCGAGTCATCTTCGGCCCCAACACGCTTACCAACTTTGCTGACCTCTGAGAATTTCTTTCGTCTCTCAACTTCTGGGTCTTCCTTGGATGCCTTGAAAGTTCACTATCCAGCCAAACTCTCTCATTTGGCTTTATTCTATTGTAATTCTGTTCTTTGAGGATAACTTGCACTGTAAGCCAGTAGATGTTGCCACACCCTAAAGACCCTTACAGTTTGACAATTAGAGTTTCTTCCCTCCCTACTCTCTTCTTAATTCTTTTGTTTGTTGTTTTTCTTTGATGGATTTTATTATTTTAGGATTTTCTAATTGTTTACTAATATCTGATTTAGATTTTATCTATTATATTTTGATAAACTACTACTCATTTTGCTTTTTTTTTCTAGTTCTTCAAATAAAATACCATCTGGCAATCAAAATAACAACTCTTTTTTTTTCTTTCAAAGAAGCTTATCCTGAGAATTTGGAGTTTCAAATCCACTTTTTAGTTCTCTTAGGAAGCAGCTGAATATGGTCTCTAGGATGTACTTAAGCACTTTATGTTTTTCACCAAATTTGGGAAATTTATTGCCTTTATTTCTTCAAAGTTTTTTCTGCCTCATTCTTTCCTTTCATCTTCAGATTTTAATTATATGTAGGCTAGGGCTATCAATATTATTCCACCAAGGTACTGCTGATTTTTCCCCTAATTATTTTTCCTGTTTTTTAGGCTTAATCATTTCTGTTAATCTGTTTTATGTAATCCTCAGTTGGTTGTTAAACCCATCAGTGAATTTATCATATTCTATTTTTGTTGTAGAATTTTCACTAGTTTCTTTTTTATATTTTCTTTTCCTATTTATGATTTTCTTATGTGTCTGTTATATATTCATTCATTATGACTGTTCTTTCATGTGATTGAGCATGGTTACAATGAATACTTTAGAATACTTGTCTATAATTTTAATGTGTGAGTAATCTTAAAGTTGTTTTCCATTCATTTCTTTTCTTTTGATTATGGGTCATCTTTGCTTGTTTCCTTTTTTGTATCGCAATCCTGTGTTGTATACTGGATATTATGAATGATATTTTATGGAGATCATGGATTTTCTTATGTTCTACCAAATGATGTGGATTTGTTTTTCGCAGTCAATTCACTTGACAGAGCTCAAAGTCTAATTCCAATTCTACCTTCTCTGCAGTGGGCAGTCCTGAAACTGTTCAATTATTTTAGCTTCATATTAAGTATCATTGAGTATCTCTGTTTAGTTATTTTAACTTTATGTAGACTACTTGGAGTTGACATTTTATCCCATGCATGCATGTGTCAAGGCTCAGCAAAAATAGTTGGGCTGATTTTATTTGCAGAATTTTGGACTTCTGCCTGTACTGTCACTTTTGCAAGATTCCCCCCTTACTTACCAGTTGCTGTTATAGTCCAAAACTCTATGTCTTCTTCCTCAGTCATCATAGGTTTATTCCTATCTTGTTCTAGTTGAACAGTATGTCCCTGACTGGGGCCTCCCCTTAGGGAAGAAGCTGTTAAAAACAGCAAACTCCCCTCATGCCATTTCCTGTTTCCAAATATGCACGTCTTTCTAGTTTCTGCTTTTAGTCACTCTCCAAGGACTTCAGATAATTGCTATTTTATATTTTGTAATAGTTATTTGAGAAAGACTCTCACATAAGGTCCTCCTCAATTGCAAGAGTGGAATTCCTAAACTCCATTCTAAATGGCTTCTTTGAAGCATTTAGAATCTCTTATTAATCAGGCACTTTTTCTGAGTTAATAAGCTGAAAGAGTATAATACATCGTCAAAACCAAGAAGAGGGTCCTGAACAGAAGTTTATAGCTATCTTCAGTTTGTAGAGATTCTTCCCTGGAATAATCATCATCACCACCATCATTATCATCATCACCATTGTCTCTTAAAGCTCTTCTGTTTTCAAAACTAACAGAGCCAACAGATTTGTTAGATCATGAACAGATATATGTCTACAATTTTACCCATTATTGAGTAGATACTCAAGTGGTATAAATTCAGCATCACTTGCAGAGTTTTTAGATGTCACTGTACTTAGGTGGCTTGTACTTCTGGTTGGAACCAAATTTGACCTCCAAGAAGAGTCTCCAGTTAGTAAAGCTACATTATTAATTTTTATACATATCATAGAAAACAAAAGCACAACTCCCAATAAAATTGGTCTCTATAAAACAAGTTGGAGGACCAAGGAGAGTAGATCCAGCAGGAATTTAAAAAAGAAGAAATATTTTTTCTGGGTTGGCTGCAGCCCAGCTCAGAATTGATCAACTCCTGCTAGCATTTCACATGGTAGCATTGGTGCTCTGGTGGGAGGTTTCAGGATAAAATAATTTTGCAAGAGAAAAGACTATCTGGAGATAGGAATCTGAAGTTTTTATTATTCATAGTACTTAGAAGTGCAGAGTTACATATTTTAAGGCCCAAGCATGACTTGCAAGATAGCTCAATGCTTACAGCAGTTCTCAAAAACAGATGACTATAACTAGAATTCATGACCAGGTTGTCCCTCCTTGTAGAGTTTCAATAAGAAAGAATGTCACACTGGGCAATACTTGCTCATCAGCCACTGTATAAAAGATTTTTTGTCTGCCAAATATTCTTCGAGAATTTTAACTACTTTTGGTGGAAATTAAGTAGTTATGCTTCTTTCTAGAGGAGTCCAAGAGAGAATGCAGAATGCCTATGGTGAGGAATTTACATCTCCAGTAGTCAATACTTTAGAAATTAATAAAGTTAAAACCACTACATGTGTTATACCTAAAAGACTACAATGATCTCATCCAATCATTACTCTATTTCATATAAAATTCAGATTGTAGTATTTAGATCACATAATCAACCTCTATTATTTCTGGCCCTGGAAACTGAGGCAGATATGGAAAGGACACAGTGCAGGGTTATAGAGACACTAACAGCTATGGCCACTATGTCCATGCAGGTAGATGGAGCACTACCTTCTCTCCCAAAGCAGTGCGTGATGAGACTGATTTCCCAGGGTTTCATCAAAACATACTGTCATACATAACTTATAGTTAATCAGATCCATTTTTGGAAACATCAAATCTCCTTGTTTTAATTCCTCTTCATGTTAGTAAAGTTGAGCAAATTTTAATGTTTTGTTAGATAATTGTATTTCTTCTCTGAATTTCATATTTGTCTGCGTATTAGTGGTAATTTGTTTTACTTATTAATGACTGCAACTATATATTGCAGTTCATTATTCCTTAAATGTTACACACACTGAAAGTATTTTTATATAACTGTAATTGTCAAAACTATATTGAGGGCCAGGGATTTAGCTCAGTGGTGCCACCGCCTGCCTCACAAGTGCAAGGTCCCGAGTTCGATCCCTGGTACCAAAAAAAACCCCACTATATCGGGACACTTAGATATACATTTCAGGACAAAACACATTAATTAAAAATATTTTTTCTCCTTTAAGTTTATTGGTACATTTTAGGTATATGATACAGTTACATTCATCATTGGGATCTTGTACCTTTACATGATGTATCTTGGTTCTTATTTTTTCCCCATTCCCCTGCCCTCCCTTCACCCCCTCCACCCTTCCCTATGTACAAAGATTTTGTTTCCATTTTTTTCCTTTTCTCATATTTTTTCTTTTCCCTTCTCTCCTTTTCCCTACCCCTCCCTCATCCCCTACTCCTTTAGACCTTTTCTTCCTATTTCACATTATCAATTATACATTTTGATCCTTATTTACACTGTTAGTTTTTCACATCAGAGAAACTATTCGGTATGTACACGTGTGTGTCCTATTTATTTCACTTAACAGTATGGCCTCAATGTACATCCATTTAGCTATAAATGTCTCTAGTTTATCATTCTTTAAGTCTGAGTAGTACTCCACTTTATAAAAAAATACATCTTCTGTTAATTTTAAAATCTTGAATTACATTTAATATAAATTTCAGAAGCAAAGTCCCCAATTAACAAAATTATATGATATTAGAATAAAATACAAGAGGAATTGTTTTAAATTAAGGCTCAGAAATGCATTAAAACAAAACATGAAAGATTTACAGATTTTACCCAGGGGATGTAGCTCAGTGGTAAAGCACTTCCTAGTTTGTGGGTTCAATCTCCAGTATTGCTAAAAAACAAAACCAAAAAAATGTTTTAAAAGGAATTACAGATTTAAAGTCATTTACTTTCTCTACTAAAAATACACTTAAATGACTAAGATTCCATGTAGATTTTGTAAGATCATTCCAGGGAAATAAATTTGTGATTGTGGTGGATAGATGCATTCTCAAAATGGCTCAAAATTCACTGCTTTCTTAAAAAGAAATGCTCCTTAACAATCATTTCTAGTCTGATTATTGCTCCATCTGGATTACAATGCCCTATTTTTTCTGAAACACACTCTTTGCCCTTGCCTCAGTCAGGCATAGGAAATTTGTGAACTGGCACAATTCACTGAACTTCCAACCTCTAGTCATCTTCCAACAAGTGGGCAGGCTAAAAATGCTGGAGACTAGAAAAGGCTCTGAGCCACGCAGGGCTGGGAGGAGATCTGCTAAACAGATGTGTCTCTCCATTTCACCTCATGCTGGACCACAGGAGACAAACTTGGTGGGTGTGAAATGGTGTGATAATTCTCATTTGTGCCTTCCTCCCTTCTGACTTAGATGAAGACTGTAAAAACAAAAATAACTTTGAGACACTGCATTCTGCATGGGCTCTATCCATTTTAATCAAAAGCATTGCCTATTTCTTAGGAGTCAAGGACTGGATTAATATGGTTCTTTCAACCTAATAGGGTTTAGGTCTTAAAAGGTCCAGAGCTTTAAGAGATCCAAAATAGAGAGAATTTAAAAAACAAAGTGTCACTAATGGGCATAGTATTAATTCTCAAGTATTTCTGTCCCCAGTGGTACTCCAGGTAAATTCATCAGGAATCTTCTTGGTGCCTAAAAGCTAGAGCTGAAGAGATGAATCAAGTCTATGTTAGCAGTTCTGATCATCAGGGTTACTGGGGCATCCTCTCGAAACTGCTTCTCTTCTATTTCTGTGCATTTATGTTGCATTTACTGTGTACACTGAGCAGTTTTTATAAAAATAAAGAACTTCTTGGCAAGGGTCTCTTGGCCCCTTTCTCGCTTTATTACTGCCAACACAACACTGTAAAGGACCAGTTAACACAGTCATTGAAGTCTTTACACAATTGCTCAGCTACCACATCAAAGTGACGCATGAGAGCCTCATAGAGCATACTGTCTCACAGTCCTACCCTTATTATCTGTCCATCATCACCCTAGGAACAGCTGTCCAGACCAGTCCCCGGTAGCAGTAACTCGAAGGCAACAAGAGGGGGAAAATAGCAACCAAGTAGTGGAAAAGCCTGGCAGACATTTCCTTATCAAGCAGTCAGAGTAAATCCAGTAACAGAGCAAATCAACCCCCTAAGCATCTTTAGATGAGAAACCGGGCAGAACATGGATTGTTTTTACACTACTGCCACTTGATTGTCATTGTGAGAAAACAACAGATATCAAAATGGAAGGACAAACTACAATGTATCTAGCCCATTTTTTTAAATGTCAACATCATAAAAAGAAAAGAAAATTTAAGAATAGTTGCTGTAGACTCAAGGAAAGACTTTAAAAAAAAGAAAATTGAATGCATTAATACATCATTTTGGATGTTCTTTCATTGTAAAGCATATTATTGGTACAGTTGATAAAACTGGAAAAGGTCTGTAGATTAGAATTTCATCAATGTTAATTTCCTGATTTTAATATTTGTACTATAGTTCTATAAAAATGTCTTTGTTTTACTTGTACAGTCAGCTGATCACTTCTAGCTATGGGGGGAAATGAGAAATTCCATCTATATGCCAAGGATGTGGGTTGGTTTAACCATCAGGGTTCTATAAGCCAACATAAAAGAACAGATACTGGAATTAAATTATGTCATGTCATGCAGCACATGTTCTTGGAAAAATTACTTGTAAAGAGACAAAGTCGCATAAGAGGATGATATATTTTAAGACTCTAATAAGCAATTTCATGAATGAGAATGAAGCTATCGGTAGACCCAGTTGGACTGGACTGGAAACCTCAGGGACTGGGCCCTTGTTCTTCCTCTCAGGGATCACACAATCTCCTTCACCTCCCCTTTCCTGTATGCATCTCACTCTCACTGATTTCCTTTACCTCTCAGTCTCATGTGTGATTCCAAATTGCATTCCCAGCTCTCAGGTCTACACACCACAGCAGCACCAGCTCTGTCACCAACTGCAGCGCTTGTTAGGTCTCAGCTCACAAGGGATTGATCCTCTGTGAAGGGCCTCAGTTGGCCAAGGCACGCATTGAAGAACCTCAAAAGCAGTTGTCTGTCCCTGAATGAGTCATACACAGCTTACAAAAGCAGAGGCAATGTCATATGATGCTATGGCTTAGATTTGGTTTAATCTTACAAGCATGAGTGTGCTGCAATCTTGGTTCTCATTATAATTGTATGAGGAAGGAAGACTGCAAGTTCAAGCACAGCCCAGGCAACTTAGTGATTTAGTGGGACTGTATTTCAAACGTTTTGAAAAAGGGCTGGGCAGGGGGAGTGTAGCTCGTGCAAAGAACCTGGGTTCTACCTCCAGAGTCATGAAAGAAAAGAGGGAGAGAGAAAGAGAGAGAGAGAGAGAGAGAGAGAGAGAGAGAGAGAGAGAGAGAGCCTGACCTCTCTCCAATCCCCTGCTTCGTCTCTCACCAGAAGACTTCGTTCTCCAGGGCTCCAGCCATGTGATCCTATCCACCATGGGGCCCTTACAAGAAGAAGATGCCAGCACCATGCTATTGGACCTCCAGTACTGTGAGCTGAATAAACCCCTTTCCTTTATAAAGTACCCAGCTTTAAGTACTCTGTTAGAGCATTACAAAACAGACTAACAGACACATCAGTCTCTCAAATTCTCACAGAATGTTTTAAGAGGAGATTCTCCCAGAAGACTAAAAGGTCAGAATGAGAGATGGTCCAGACAAGGTGAAATGATCTTCATTTGGGGAAATAAAATGGAGAACAGCCACAATCTTTTCTAGAACTTAAAAAAATGTGAGATGGATCTTGAGAACAGCAAATCACGCAGCCCAAGTGAAAATGTACAAATAAACATGATAAAGGAAATTACTCCAAATAAAAAAAAAATTCTTGGAATTTTCCAAAGCTCTTCCCCCCAAGAACATATGGTAGAAATAGATGAAACTCAGAGGGGGCAAACAGGCAGCAAATCAAAGTGATATGCAGTTAAATTGAAAGGAAACTCAAACCTGTGACATTATCCCTCCCTCTGATAAGCTTTTTGCTTTTACTTGAATCTTTCCCGAGACTCAGAAGGTCTTGGTAAATCTGGCAGCTGTCATAAAACACCATCTGTCCTAAGAAAATGGGTGCAGAGGTGGCTGTAACCCAGGGGATTTTTCCAAATGCTGTCAGCATGGATGTTCAAGCTGATCAAATCCCTAACAAGAAAGTTAAAAGCCCTACCAAGAGAATCCCTGAAGCTGTGCTCAGGAGCAGAAGGGGTGAAGATGTGAGGGTTGGGCCGTGGGGTGCCACCCACTTGTGAAAGGAGGGGAAAGGAGGAAGAGTGGTTCGTGCCCAGTCCCAAGGGAAGCGGGAGAGGAGGGGAGGCGGGGAAGGCCTAACCCAGAGGGAGGGTCAGCTGGCCCATCCGTGTGGATGCGGATTTCTCAGTGTTGTCTTAGCTTCCAGCTCCCCAGTGAGAGCCCGACTCCTAACCTCCCGTAGGGTTAACTTATTTATTTATTTATATAGTAACTTCTGCATTTTAGAAATGCTTTTTTTAAATTAATTATATTGGTACATTTAAGGGATACACTATAGTGCCGTTCCTCATTGGAAATTTGCACCTTTACATAATCCATCTCGGTTCTTATATTTTCCCCTTCCCCTGCCCTCCCTATCTACAAAGACTTTCTTTTCATTTTTTCTTTTTCTCATATTAATTCCATTCCCTTCTTTCCTTTCCCCTACCCCTCCCACTTCCCCATCCCCTTTGCCCCTTTTCTTCCTATTTCACATTGCCTAGTATACCTTTTAGTCCCTATTTACACTTTCAGTTTCTCCCACTAGAGAATAACTTTAAATGTCATTAAATGCCTCAAGGGCTCAGTCTCTGTTAGCTGCCAGATTCAAACCTGGGCTCCTAACCTCTCCTCCAGGAAGTTGTCCAAGCATATGAGGAGGGATTCTTTCAGCCTCCTTCTGCCACCACTGGTTGATAAGAGCTGGCTTTCTCCAAGTTGCAGAGGAAACCAGACATTGCATTTAGCACAAGCTCGGCTGTAGTCCTCTGCGGGGTGTACAGGAGTTTGGGGCTGCTCCCTGGACTTCCACCGAGTCCCATCTCACCCAGCAGAACAGTGGCCATGGTTCCTGTTTCCTTTGACAGAATTGGGGATGCTCGCTAACCAAACCCTGGGCCGCTGTGCAGTCAGTGTGAAGACAGCTGCAGACTCACTGATGGATCCCTCAAAGCTGGCTGGCTGGGCAGTGGGAGCTCCTGGAAACAGAAGGGGCAGCGATGGCCTCCTGATTCCAATAGGTGCTTGAGAGAAATGTGGGAAATGCTTCTAAACATGGAATCTTAACTAAGCAAAGGCTAAACACATGCAGATGAAAAAGCATAGGAACACCTGCAAAGGACACACACACACACACACACACACACACACACACACACGGACCCCCGGCAGCAGGAGCCCTGCATGCATGAAGCATGGATACTTCTTTTTCTCCCACAAGCGACAGCATGGACTCCTTTTGGAAAGGTCCAGGCAGTGGCCGGAGTCACTCCCTTTAGGATGAGTGGGCCTGTGGGTGAGGGAGCCTCAGGGAGTCTTCAGCACTGAATGGGAGCAGATTCCTTGTGGGAAGCTGTGGAGCCCTCTCCTTCACCTGGAGAACAGAAAAGTGGACAAGTGCAGCACATTGGGCTCATGTGGCATTGTTGCCTTGGGGGCTGCCACTGGGAAGGACGCTTCGGGGACCAGGGTGGGATGGACAGGTGGGGGTGTCTCTGGGCAGTTTTCCTTTCTCTCTTGCTCCATTCTCTGGGGGCTGAGAAAGCTTCTTTATAGGAATTTGTTGAGTGAAATGCCTTCAGAATGCAGGACTTTTCCCTATTGTCCTGGCTTCTGGAATGCTAAAACTATACCTCTGTCTAGATCTGTATGTGATATATGGTATGATGTAATATGAGAGCCAGTATATGACATGTACAATGTATTTCAACTAACTGATTTATATTAAGTATTTATAATATACGATTACACACTTTAATGCATATACTATACATACTACATATTTCATCTTGTATTATATCATTCTATATATTACATATAAATGCATATATATATGTATACACACATATATATATTTTTTGCGGTACTGGGGATAGAACTCAGGACCTTGCACTTGCAAGGCAGGCGCTGCATCACTGACCTAAATCCCCAGCCTTTATATGTATATAAATATATATTTTAATGAAACCCAGAACCCAGTGCAACAAGGAAAATTATCGTACATACATTTAGAATATGTATATTTGATATATAATATATGTACATTCATATGTGTAGGTATCTTTAATCAACAAACTCTTTTTTTTTTGGTACCAGGGATCAAACTCAGGTCTTTGCGCTTGCAAGGCAGGCGCGGGAACCACCGAGCTAAATCCCCGGCATAATCAACAAACTCTTATATGCTGATTCCCACATGTGCTACTCGAAGCCTTTCATAAATGGTAACTGATTGAATATTCAAACAGCCCCGATGCTGCAGCTGCCTGTATCATCCCCATTTTACAGGAGGGAAAACTGATGGCCAGGCAGGCTAAGTAATATGTTCCAGGTCACACAAGTAGCGAAATAATGACCTTCTCTTTCATGTAGACTATTGTCAGTATTGCTTCTATCACTCTGTGAAATGTAATATATAATCAAATGTAAGATCAGTCTTGTTAACCTATATTAACCTATAGTGTGTTGTGTTATCTTAACTAAAGTAGGAGTCCAAATCTATAGACAACCCAAAATGTCAGAATCCTGACATTGTTTGTGTCCTCTAATTCCTACACTGATTTTTTTTTTTTTTTTTACAAAACACCTCTCTGTAATAAAATTGCTCCTGCTTTTTCTCAGCTGAAATTCCAAGTACTCAGTTTACTTTAGCAGTTTGGAAGGAAGGAAGTTGAACATTTAGAATGTGACTTGTTTATCCAAGGCTCTGAAGTCCTTAAGATGACTTTGGTATATGCAGGTTCACCCCTGACAACCCAAAATCAGCTTTAGAAAGCTCTTCACCTTCCACCCACAGACAAATCTGCTAACAGAGCTGACAAATGAGAATGACACTGCAGTCCAGACAAAGGAATAAAACAAACCCAAGGAAGTCTGCTTTGGCAAAAACCAGTTGGTGAATGCAAGAAAGACAGTTGCAAATGTCACTCCCTGCCCTTGGAGGTCACAGCTGGTGAGAAGGTGTCCACCTTACCTTGAACCACTGAGCAACTGGGAGCCTGACTAGTGTTTAGTATTCATAAGAAATGGAGCCAGGCCATTTCAGACGTTTGCAGAGCATTACAGGCCTTAATGAGGTGGGGGAAGCCACTGTTCCGTTCCCTGGTGGCCCCCAACTGTGTTTATTTGAATGTGTGATCATTAGACTTCACAAGTCTCTCTGGGGCTCCATGCGCGGCATGCATTACACCCTGGAGAATGTAAAAATACTTTAATTAACAACGCGAGTGGGCAGACCTGCTGCGTTCCTTCTACCACCATCCGCAGGACCTGAAAAGCCAGGACTCTTTTGTCACCCCACCACTTTTCATTACCACCATAAAAGAAAATCTTAAGCCAAATTTCCCTTAAAACTGATTTGAAAAGACCACTAAAGATTAGATATTTCACTCCTTTACTTAGCAACCAACGTCACACCATCATATTCGCATGTCCTATAGCATGTTCTCTTGGGTTCCTACACATGCACTATGAACTTGATAGGTAGAATTCTATATTTCAAATGCTCTGTAAATACTACAGGACCCTGGAGTGTGGAACATGCCAAATTGGCTTGGAATATGCATTCGTTTGAAAATGCAAATTTACATTAGTCGATTACTCAGTCAGATAAATGTTTTGGTTCATTAATTCAAATAAAATACAGTACTGGCAGGCTCCTAGCACATTAGCTTACAGAGAGATTTTTTCTTGTTTGTTTTCAAGTGTGGAGTCAGTGATTTCTTTTTAAGACCATATGAGACCCAACCAAAATTTGTAGGCCATGAGGGTAGGTGCCACACCCCTGCCAACCCTCACTTTAAACCCTACTTTCAGGAC